TTTCCAGTGTGGCCCCATGACCTACGGCTACAAGCCATAAGGCAAAGTGAAACCACATGACCTACACAGAGTTCCCATATAATGAGCTACCCAGTCTGAATCAAATGTTAAATTATAAACATTTGCACACAAACCTTTTTCTTTTAAAATAATACATAATAAACATTTCTCAAACAATATGATTAAGAAATCACCACTGATTTTGCTGTACAAAATATTTACACTATAGGGTTTCAATCAATTTTAATATAGTAACTATGTAAATGTCTATTTCCACTTCCATTACTTTTTCTTGAAATTCTGACACAATTATAAAGTTAAAAAGCAGAAAATGTTGAAGCACCAAATGTAACTTTATTTAGGATTTTAAAAGTCCTGAACCTTAAAGTGTTATGCATCAGAGGAAAATCTCTTCCAGAAGTTTGTACAGAATTTTAGCTTCCATAAATATGAGTGATGCCAACCAAAATACCTTAATATGCATTCTATGGAAATGAGCCAATTTTTTTTTTTTGGTCCTAACATGTAACATCATGTAATTTCACATTTAAAAAGTGGGCGTGTGGCCTAACAGTCATGTAGACTCAAATTTTAACTAAAAGCGCAGTGTGGTATGATGATTAAGAGCATGGCCTTCAAACTACCTGAGGTCAAATCCCATGTTTGGCATTTACTAGTCAGTTACCATCTGTGTACCTCAGTTTTCTCATCAGTAAATGGTTAAGTTCCAACCTCTCAGGTACTACAAGGATTAAACTAATTACTGTGTATAAAGAGCACAGAAAAGTGCCTGGCAGGCGACAGTTGATGTTTACATACCACATTCTTATGCCATGCAGCACAATACTTATATTTACCCTACTATTAGTATAGTTCCTTGCTTGAAGGAAAAAACATAAATGCCATAGAAAAAAACTTATCCGTTTTTAATAAAATTTTCAACAACAGTATCTAGTCTTGAATATGACTCTTTCCCACTTGAAGTAACAAAAACCATCATAAATTTTCCTATATAAGAGAGAGTGCTTAGGCTACACAAAATTAAATGAGTACTGAAGACTAGGTATTTTCACTAAATAAAAATAAATGGTTAGTTAATAAAGGTTATGTATAACTGAGAACCAAAAAATTTGTGTATGTGTATCACATTTGATTTGGACTTATGTTAACCAAGATAATTATTTCATTAATGTTTAAGGTCAACCAGTAGTTAAGTTGAAACAACTCTATACTGAAAGTACAATCATCCATACCCATTAAGTTACAAGTAACAAATCACTAAAAAAGGTAAGACGTAAGTAATTGTTCAAATTTTTATTTTGATGCACAGTATGAGAAATGTACTTTTAAAACAACTGAATTTTATGGAGAATGAACAGCAAATAAGTTAGACCCATGTTAAAATGAAAGGTCAGCTAAATGTCTAAATTTAAGGATATAAGAACCACAGCTCAACTTCGATTCCACAGTCTTCTTTAAGAAGTCGAAGTCTTTCAAACAACTTTGCTATGAACTGGTCCAGAGCATAACAGCATATAGGAATGCTTAACAAGGGTGGTGATCAGGGACACGTTTCCTTGGTGCTGCTTTGATGATATTATCCACACGCAGAATCACCTCTGCTGCTTCAGCTGCACTCAGAAGAACTTGCCGTTTCACTTGGAAACTTTCTGTTATGCCCAGTACTGCCATATTGCCAATAGTACCTTCCTTCATATCCAGTCCAGCAGTTGTATTGCCTTCACTATGGGCAGCTCGGAGCTGTGCCACCAGATCTGCACTGTCATAGCCTGCGTTGTCAGCTATAATAGTAGGCAAC